TCTGGACCTTCTTGTTATTGGAAATAAATAATTTACCCTTTTCTGTTTTTTGTTGGTAGTTATTTGTTGTTTAATTGTATTTTTTGTCGTCGTTGTTTCAATTTCGCAAAAAGGCGTAGCTACTCTAAATTTTGGAAAAAGTTTCATACTTTCGTATATTTGGAAATTTTTTTAGAATATTCTTAAAATATTTGAAGATCGTTTTTAGCAAGCCACTCGCACGTATTATTTGTGTCCTGCTTGAAAACTCTTTTTTTTTCGACGACGTTTAAATATGTCTTGTCAAGTACAGTACATTACTAAAACAATTGTACCTGAGAAATAATTGTATTCTATTTTCTTTTCAAGACTTGGATCCCTGCCTGCACGTTACCTGCTTATTCTATGGCCTGTGTAAGGCCTTTGGACCACACGACGCTCGCTGCGTGTGCTTAGACCTCTGTCCGTCGTTCCTCGAGCCCGTGTGTTCGTCAAATGGCACAACGTACGGCAACGAGTGCTTGTTCAAACGACAGACGTGTCTTTTGGAGCATAATTTTACCGTGTTTTTCCAGTTTTTCCATGCCAGCGCGGTCGCCAACACATGCCTCACATTCCAACACTGGGATATTCTCACTGTGTAGTGATCCATCTGCAACCTTACGTGTTCTATCCTGACAAACCCATTGAAGTTCAGATCACTGTCAATCACATTGACACCAGTGACAAGTCGTATGTACACGATGCAGCAGTGTCATGGGTTGAGAACACCAATTACGATAGATTCACCACTTGTGTCATGGCATCAGGTTTCAATGAGCGAGAATCGAACGCAAACGTCACGATTGATTGGATGGCGTATCAGTGAGCCCCGGTCAGTGGGTTGGCAGGCGAAAAACGGATATCACAATGGTGGACTGGAACGACTTGTGTAACCGTGAACTTTCCATCAGTAAGTAGCTAGCCTTTGTCCTTTTTTCTTTTTCATCTCCCATCTTTTAACACATTTATTTACTCGTTCGTTCCTTTCCTGTATGAGTTATTGCATACATGCACGAATGTGCGTGTATTCAACTCAGTGTCGTTAATTGTCTTTGAGAAGACTTCAAATGGATCCCTTCCTAACTTGATGGTGAAGTTTCACCCATATCGGTAGGAAATAATTGTCAGAGTGGTAAACCCCAAACAAAACTGAAATTTCTTTCTGTGTAGGATGCTCAAGTACCAGGATAAGATCGAGTCCCAGGAGCTTGATTGGCCATTCATGACGGAGCGTTTGGCGGTCTCTATCGCGTAAAAAGCTATTCCTCTTTGTCCATAACAGTCCCTTACTTTTTATGCATATTCCTCAATGTCTAAAATGCCACTGCTGCTAGTGCGCAGGTCCTCATTAGTATTAATTGGGTCAGAGGTACTGTAAGAATAAGCTTTCTTTGAAAAAGAACATTACACGGTAACTAGGGCGGGGTTGAACCTGGATATTTCTAACCCCTGGACATTTTTCTCTTATTGGAAGAAGAAATTTCCGAGTGCACCCTCAGTATTTGTAACTGCCAAGCACCATCATTCAGGACTGAAGCAGCTAGTATATGGATTGAGGATGTCACGCAGTCCTCGTGCAAAGTTTGCCTGAGGGAGCTCCAGAACTACGCAGGATCCCACAAGGATATTTCTGTTGTGAGTATGTAGTTCACAGGCCTATCGTCGTATTACAATTAGAATCTTTTTCTTCCTCTGATTTGCTATTTATTTTCATTCATTTTTGACGCAATAATCTCGGCTGTTATGATTAATCGCGTGTATGCATGCAGTTAAGCGCTCCGTCTTCAGCATGCCCAAAGCTATTCACATATGGCGTCAAGGTTAAAGTACTGTTTAAACAGATCCCTGACACCAAATGCTGACAACAATGTGTTAAAGAACGTACAATTCTCGTAACTAAGTTCGATCTTGGCACGATACTACCAGATGTAACGAAACACAGCTGGAAATGTTGTTAAACTGGAATTTTGGGTGAACATTGTAAGGGAAAAAGTGCTCAAAGATAAACAAAGATCCAAACATACGGAACTATAAAAACATTTGTGTGAACTTCTCGTCCTATTTCGACTTAGCCATCACGCTTAACAATATCTTGAAATTTTCATGTGTTCGTATTTTTATCAGAACTGGTTGGCGTTCATGAATCTTCACAAGCCCCCCTTCTCAGAACACAACGTGATTCACTTTATCAACAACAGAGCTCCCCCAGACGATCAAAATAATGCCTTCTGCAAGGTCAGTTGTCATTGCAGGTTTAGCTATTTTATTGACTATTTCAAGCGTTTGTGTGTGTTATTTGATTTGATAAAGGCCTATTAGTGACTGACCAATGATCATTGCTCCTTGGCGTACATACTAGACATTTTCCGTTCTACCTTACCACTAATTCGAAGCCAGGCGCGTGTTCGAGGATAGGTACTGATTCACGTGTTTACGCTCTCTATTCTTCCTCTTTCAGGATGTTAACTTCTTCCACGCCTACCTTACAGTCCCAAACGTAATTGTCTCTGCTAATCACTCAACGAAACAAGGGAACTTGAGTCCTGTTCACAATGGCATAACCCCTTGGGTAGAGGTAAGTTAGATTCTAGACAATATTTTCTGTCTGAAAAAGCCTAATGAAATATGTTATATCTGTTTATCATACTGATTCAAGCTTATTTTCAAGGCGCCATCAAGAAGTTTAGTGTCGTGGCAAATAATTCCATTTATGATGTGAAGCGCCCGGCATTGTCTAGTACTAGTTATTTTCCCGTCTGACCCTCTCCATTCAGTAAATAAATAAAACTTTTTCCTTTTCTTCAGTATATCAACAGGAGTGGCTTTCGCGTTTGTTTTAAAGAATTGTACGAAACAAAATATGATCCTCTTTCAATTATCTACACGGTCATCTCAGGTAAATACTTAGGTTGCTTAACACCGTCACAAAGTAATGTACTGTTGAATCAGGACCAAACATCATTCTCCTCAAAATCAAAGTCTTCTCTTACCCCTCTCGCCTAAAATATCCTTATAATGACTTTTTGGAAGTTCACAAATGTTTTAATAGAAGAAAAATAGACAACAGAGGGAAGCAGTCATTCATTGGCTGGGATATGCTAATTTACCTCATTTCTCATGGCTTTACATGGAAATTACAGTCTATTATACCCCAGACATACGCATTCCCTGTCTCACTGTCCTCCGTCAAGAAACAGTAGCTTTAATCTCTATGTGTACCCCTACGGAAGTAGACTATGAAGAGTGACTGATGCAGAAAATCGGTTAAGTTATCGTATGTTGACACAACACACGAATGTTAATCTCCTTTGACTGTACTTTTCTTCGTATGTGTTAACATCGCTCTAGATAAATTATTCATTTCTCATGTAGATCTATGCCAGCCTGGATGGGATTATTTCAATGGTTATTGTTATTTCATAAGCTCCACTTGCACTACTTGGTCAAATGCTGAAACAAAATGTTCTAAAATGCACTCACATCTTGTGACAGTCAGAGGAGAACGTCCACCTTCAACATCAGCATAATGGAGAGGGATCCTGGATTGGGCTCAATTATCGAAGCTTAGAAGGATCATTCGTGTGGGCAAAGAAAGGCATAAGTAGCTTTAGATTCTGGGCGGCAAACCAACCAAAAAATAACACAGATCAGGACTGTGTACACACTCTTGGCTCAAACAATGGATACACTTGGAGTGTCGTTTCATGTGATGACTGTTTCAAATTCACTTGTTTTAAAGGTAAAAAATTAGCACTCGATTTGACTTCACCCAGCTATTTTAGTACCCTAAAATCTGGGCACTAGGTGGGGGAGAGAATAATCGTAAAAAATACCCAGTGAGGACTGTCATTTTAATGAATCCTGTGATATTTATGCCGCATACTAGATTTTCTTAACTGGAATATGTTTGCTTTTAAAGATATAAACGAGACTCATTGGTGTAATGTCAATGCTTTATGCCAAAATACTTAAGGATCTCACAAAGGCGTTTGTTAGGGCGGATTTAATGGAGACGGGGAAAATTATCTAGTTTAAGTAAATTTTATGATCATCTTTTAAAAGCACTGCACTGTCGTTAAATGCATTTTGTAGCTTTAAAAATGAATTGAAGCCCTTGAGCAATCCGTAGGAAATCCGTCGGCAATCGGTGAGCATTTCCCGGTCAATTAATCAGCATATAATCCGAAGATACGACGTAGGCAATCCAAAGAGACTCCGTGGGCACTCCGTGGGCACTCCGTGGCAATCCGAGGGAAATCTATGGGTAGTCTGTGGGCAATCCGTGGGCTATCCATAGGCAATCTTATGGATCGTTGAGATTACCTTTTCCAGACCCGCTTAGCCACGTGTAATCAGGGTGCGTATTTTGTCGCCCACAAGTTATCGCCACTTAATGACAAGGTGTAACGATAAACAAAGTCAGTGTGGAGTATAATTTTTTAGCGGAATATCATTTGCTTTCTAAGATATAAACGAGTGCACAGTCAAGTCCCACCGGTGTGATGTCAATGCTGCTTGTCAAAATACTGAGGGATCTCACGAGTGCATTTGTAAGACTGGATTTGAAGGAGACGGGGAAAAATGCTCTCGTAAGAAAATCATATTATCATTTTAAACGATGCCATCTTCAATTAACTGAAACGTTAAGTTGATTGGAAAACACATTGTAGCTATTTCTGTGACTTTCAGGAATAACGTAAAGACAAGCTTTTTTCCCTCGCGTTTTAAAAATGGATAATTATTCAGGTTGTTCATAATGACCCGCAATAAAACGTTGCTCTGGTTAGAAACAAGGACATATAAAGCAAAAATGTTTAGTAAGATTTTTCTCTTCCTCTTAACGTACAACTTTAACGTAAAAATGTTTCTCTTTCAACAACTGGAAGATTTAGCTTATTTTCCTACAATAGTAAAGAAGGTAAAAATACTCTTTACTGCTAGATCAGATTTGAAAGGATCCTAAGGGTTATAAATGACACATGCGTGTTTTCATTATAGTTTTTTGGGAGTTTACACTAAGTGGACGAAGTGGAAGGTATGGCGTTATTCAGACCTTCACTGTTCCGCGTACGACCCTTTACCAAATAAAGGCCTGGGGAGCTCGTGGTGGGACGCATTCATACAATTATGGATCTAGACCTGGAACATACTATGGTGGTAGGGGAGCATCCATAGAAGGAAAGTTCAGATTGAATAAAGGAACAGTGCTGAATATTGTGGTTGGACAGCGTGGTGGAAATTCAGTGGAGGTTAAGGGTGGTCGATCCACATCCTTAACAGCAGCTCAGCTGGGACTGTCTGTAGAGGACAATGCTGGAACCGGAGGAGGGGGTGGTAGTTTTGTCTATACCACAAGTAATACCCTGTTATTAGCTGCCGGAGGAGGAGGTGGTGCGTCAGGTGGTTACAACGGAACGAATGGTCAGACGAGAACAAGTGGAACCAGTAGTGTGGGGAAAGAACCATCACGGGTTAGGAAGGGAGGCACTGGAGGGCAGCCAGGTGAATGTAACAGAGCAGGTGGTGCCTTTCGTGGGGGTGTAGGTGCTGGTTGGCATGGCCCTTTTCCGTCCTCTTACCGTTTACAGACATTTGAATATCCCTTCCCTTTGAAAACTTCTGTAGTTCTGGAACTTTCAGATTGGGGAAGAAAGCATCAAAAGTTCCCTTAGCCTCGACTTGGTGCCAAAAACCAGACTTTCTCGCACAAACAATTCGAGTCCAGCTTATTGACAGGTGTCTGATCTTGTTTCAAAGTTTACTCGGAAGCCTTTTAAATCGCTTTCATCATTACGCAAATAAAAATGCTTCGGTGAAGCCTCTTTCTTTAAACTGCATTGCCTCCTTTTTCTCTGCTATCTATTCACTAAAAAATTGTTCAGTTTATAGAGGATATTGCGTAAATTACACTTCTAAACAATTTGAGTTTTCTTTTTGCCATAATTTCCTTTAAAATGTAAAAAAAATAGAATGTTGTTCCTCTCTGGGCACAGTTTTTCCCGATACAGACCTCCAGACCGGTGAATGATATAATAAATTTATTGAATTCGGTTTTCGCATGATATCATGCTCCACCTCATTCAACAATTGCTGCCTGGTCGTGGTTGCTGCTGGTATGAGGGCGAAAAAATAAAGCACGTGTTCAATAATCCTATGCAAGGACCTGATAAATAAGGAAGAATAGGCGATTCCAACCCGTGGTAAACATGCGCTGATTCTATTCGTCAATTAAAATCAAAAGGAAATAAGAAGAGACTTTTTAGATACTTTAGCATTTTACCGTCTGGCATAACTTCCATGAGTTTTGTTATACAAAAACACAGTTTGGCGGATCAAGGTGAACTGCACAGAGCGATTTGTTGCTTTGTTTTTCTCTTTCTTGTTTCTGTTCGTTTGGTTGTTTTTTGTTTTGTTTTGCTTTTTTCCGTTCATTTAGCAGAACAATAACCAAGTAAAAACTGCAATATGTTTTTTTTCTGTTTGACGGGTGTCTTTGAGAAAAGCTACATTAGAGATAAATTGACAAATGGTCCTTGAAGTGAATAAGTAAAATTGGAAATTTCACGCAGTGTTTGATTTTTACGGCAATTCATTTGCGATAATTTTCTTTTGGCTGGAGCACTGTCGTGGCAACATAACGTGTCTCAAAATGAGATCGCACCTTATCGATTAAAAAAAAAAATAAAATGGCATATCAGTTGATACAATTTTCGCGGGATAACACACACAACTGTTTGTTTGTCGGCTCATCAAAAAATAAGTGTCTCAAGATTCGCAACCATTTCGAATCAACCTAACTTCGTCGAAAAGATAGGCTGAAATAAAACCAACCAGGCTAGAATTATCGGGACAAAAACTATGCAAATTTTTTGGCATGTTGAAATAATGATACTTGAACAAGTAATGAACCAAAGGGAAATTTGCATAAAAAGATTAACAAAAGAGGCGTAAATTGTTTAACTGTTTGATTGATTGGTTGATTTATACGACAACTTTAAATGTGATTGGTTGATTTAAAATACGACTTTGAATGTGATTGGCTCATTAAAATGTCCGATAACAAACTGTGGCAAGTGAATCAGTGGAAAGTAGGATTTTCTTTAAACCAATCAATCACAATCGAAGAAATAGTCATTTTTATGAGTAATTTTTGTCAATGGCCTGTTTAACGGCTGCTCAGTGAGAGGCAAGTCTTTTTTGAGTGCGACACAGAAGCGAGATGATACGAAACCATCTATAATTTATTAATGGTAGTAGTTTTTTACGGGAGCCAGGTTGACATGCAAATTATTCCTAGACCCTCAGAAATATCTTGTTTGAATATTTTGCGAAAGTTGCTTGTCATTCTCAGTCATGCCATAACTGATTTATTGATGAAACCTGATATAATTATACATAGTGTTTCAGACTGTTAGTTCTAGCTCGTGTCAAGCTAGTGCTCTAATTATCTCTCGATAAGCGATCAATAAAAATTCATCTTTTATACAAAACGTGAATACTACAGTCTGTGTCAATTCCCTGCTGATTATAAAGCGAGTTCACTTTTCTTCATTTTGTTTATTTTTTGCGCGAATATATCATGGGATCCCCCTGCCTTGCCCACTATATTATCTTGCGCAGGGTGATCATAACAATATGTGTTGCAATCACGCCATCAACATAATCACCAAAACCACTTTATTTGTTTAAAATTTCAGACAATACTCTACCTCTTCTATTATCACTAAGTACTACTAATAAGTATCTTCTTTGGGAACGAATTGTGTAAAATTCAGTACAAGGCGATAAAGGATTTATCACTTATAAACTATCCGTCTCCGGAACTCTTCCTTTTGTAATAATTGACGAGTCAAATGGAGTGTTTCATCGAACAACGATAGCTAAACGTGGTAAGATTAGAATGACCACCGTGAAAATAAAAAAACGAATTAACTGTAACTTTGAAAGATATATCGAACATCATGGATTTTATCTTTCAATAGTTTTATGACATCCTTGTGAAACTAATTTATTCATGAAGCTATGCTGTCAAGTAGGGACTGAATTCGTTCACTCAACATGGCAGGTGTTAAAATGCCCGAGATTTTCTTCGGTAAAATAATAAAGTTTTTATATTCTATCGCCTCAGGCGTTTTCCGAAGGTTACTCTCGAAACAGAACCAACAGAAAGTTTGTCCTTCAGAAGGCGCTAAGCACGCGAGTATAAAATAGAACGACACGATTACAACGTAAGCTACATCGGTCTCCACGAGTCACCATAGCAACACACCCAAACTCAAAATAGTCTCAATTGCGATGGTATAACAGCCTTTATTTTATATGTGCTCCTTGTGACTCAAATAATAACGTTTTCACTGGAAATTTGATGGATCGATGTTACTTGACAAAGAAATATTGAATTGGCCACCTGAGCATCGGGAAATAAAGATTAATCACCAAAGTGTTTGTGTTCAAATTGTTCTAAAATGCTCTGGAAGCTTTACGTAACTAAATGTTTTTTTTTTCCTGTGAAAACTTCAAATTACATTTTTCAATGGAAAACAATTTTCCGCAGGTATCGTTTTCAATGTTATCCAAAAGTTCCTCACATCAAAAATTAACACCTAGAACTAAAGCTCGACTTTTGAAGATTACTTTTGTTCTGTTCCAGTGAGTGTGAAGCTTTAAAAGTGACTTTAAAAATTATTGATAGATAAAAATAACAGCAGGAAACAAGCCCAACCTACATAGATACGTTTTGATATAATTTTTAAAAACTTCCCACAGTCGAGAGCCTCCTTAAATTTGCAAAACTTAAGTTGAACCGCACGTTTTTCTCTTTGATTTCTGTTTTATTTTTCTCTTAGTTTTTAATTTTTGTCACCAAAGGTGAATCCTTTTACACGATGTACGATTTTTTGAAAGCTACATTTATTATCTTTATATATTTATTTTTTTCAAAAACATTGTGAGTTTTATGTTCCGATATAACAAACGATTAATGAGATCTTAACCACGCTGACAGCATGATATCAAAAATTATTCCTCAGGGGTGTCAGAGCTCTATCGTAATTAATAAACAGGAAGATATAACCAACTTCAATTAATATCCCGAGACAATAACACTGAGTCAAACTAATAACTTATTTCTTTACTGTTTTGTCTACCTACTGTGGTAAACGTAGAGGGGAAGTAATCATTTTATTTCACCGAAAAGAAAAACTTAAAATAAGCTTATCATAACAACAACTCAGATACCAAGCTTCTCCTTTCCACCTGGCGCTTGATATGGGAATGCGAGAGTTAGGTTTTCACGTACCTGGGTCTAAATTGGGATTTGAATTCCGCTTGCTAGCAACCTTACCAAGTTTATCAAAATTAAATACAACAACGGCTATATTGAAAAAAAGTCAAAAAATTCAACCGTCTCCCATAGATTCTCTCTGAGCCAACAAAGATCCCCTGTAAGGAAGACGAACGACGGCTATTTATCTACTAAGAGTTTGTCCCTGGTGTGACATAATTCCCTCATAAACATCAATTCAGCTCCAATTGGCCATAAAACACAACGACGTTCAGTAGGAGAAAACTTTAATTGTCTACCGTAGCATCCCACTGATCCAACAAAGATGCACCACTGTAAGGAATTAAGGATAGGGGCTAATTAACTATTATCTATAATTATGTTTAAACAGACTTTCAGCTTCAGTTGGCCGTTGGCAACCTGCTCTGAACAAAAGTGATTCACACCTCAAGAGAAGACTATTCGGAGTCTGTCGAGGAAACAACGAGTACTTATACCCAGGTATATGTATTACTGTTTCGTGGTTTATTATACAATCCCTTTTTCAAGTTAAAATTGAAGTACGTCTCAAAGAGGTAAGCCAAAACCTGTGCCTCCTCAATTGCAGATCTCTTTTTCCTGAAAAAAGTTTAATAGGTCCTAAAATGAAAGGAAACTACAGAGACTAAAGTTCTCAACGGACGGTACAATGTACAATTATTAACGATCTTTTCTTATGTGCGAAGCCCAAATTCCTATGAAAGTAGCATTTTCTCGTAGAAGAATTTTTAAAAGACGATTTTGAATGGATGACAAAACAGGTGAGTCTCCTAATTTCAAGAAATGTAAATTTTTAAGACTAGAAATTGTACTCGCCTTACGAGCTTCGGCAGTTTTGTTGTCATAGAAAAAATATACTCCTGCTTACTTACAGCAAATTACACTTGTAATCATGTTATAACCTATATACTAAAAGTCTCTTACAAGCTGTCAAAAGTAACTGACGTTTTCAGGCAGTTTCTCATTTTTTTCTCGCCCACGAAATCGTCTTGCGCAGGGTGATCATAACAATATATATATATATATATATATGTTGCAATCACGCCATCACCGTGATCATCAAAACCATTTTATTACTTTAAAAATTTCAGACAATACGCTACTTCTTCTATTATCACTTAGTACTCCTAATAAGCATCTTTTATGGGAACAAATTGTGTAAAATTCGGTACAAGGCGAGAAAGGATTTATCACCAATAAAATATCCGTCTTCGGGACTCTTCCTTTTGTAACAATTAATGAGTTAACTGGAGTATTTCATCGAACAACGATGGATAAGTATGGCAAGATTAGAATGACCACCGTAAAATTAAAAATAGAATTAATTCAAACTTTGAAAAATATACCGAA